GGTCACCACCCCGCTCTGAGGAACACTAAGATAGGGCAGAGGTGGGGGCTGACAAGTTCTAGGCTGCTCTGACTCACCAGTGACCCAGAAGCAGTCCCAGGGTCCCCTGGGGGCTCTGCTTCTTCACCCAGCTGGGACTTTTTGCCCTGCCCACCTACAGGCCTGGTGCAGACATCATGAGTGGCTGAGAGACACAGTGGACACTGCCAAGGGTGAGTCCACAAGTTCTGCTCACAAATGGTCTGGGTTCAAATCATGACTTGACCATCTTTGGGCTCAGAACCAAATCCAGACTCCCAAGACTTAACTTTCAAGGCTGGGTATGACGTGAGGCCCCACCACCTCTCTGGCCTCGTACCTTACCTTTGTACTGGATACCCTCACCTCTGCCAGTTTGCCAGAGAACTCCTACTCACCCTTCAAGGTCCAACTCATAAGCCCCCACACTTTCCTTCAACTTTCCCCAAGTGGAACAAATACCGCAGGGCTCCCACGAGGGCTGTCGTTCATTTACAAGACTGTGCTTGTCAAAGACACTACAATGACCTCCATGTGGCCAAATCCAGGGGTTTCTTTGCTATGGCCATTTTCTGGTCTGCTTGGTGGCTGTTCCTAATTGATCCCAACTCTTCTGGAAACACATTCTCCTCTTGGCCTTTGCAAGCCCCCCCCATGGTGATCCCCCTGACCACAAGGCACTCACCCCTGGGAGTGCCCCGCCGGCCCCAGGGCTTCAAACACCATTCCGGCATCCTCCTGACTTCCAGATTTCTATGTCTGGCTGCATCTCTCAAACTCCAGGTGGTATTTCCAACTTCTTGCCTGACACCTCCCCTTGGCTCTCCAGCAGCCATCTTTGTCACCTCCCTCAAGCTTGCCCTAACACCCCATCTCTGTTAATGGCAGCCTCCTCCTGGGACTCATCTCTGCCCCCCACCACTTCCACATCCCCCACGGCAGCACATTCTGGCAGCTTGTCTTTCGGATTCCATCCCAAACAAGATGTATTACCACATCCCCTGCCCATCCTTGCCTGCTCCTCCCTGCCCTTCTCCACCCCAACCACCCTCCCTGTGGGGACTCCCAGATGGCTTCTCCCAGCATGGAGAATAAAACCAGTAAGACCTCAAGTCTGAACCATAGCCTTCAAGTCCCTAATCATCTACTCTCACTGCCTTTCTTCTTTCTAAGCCAAGAAACATGGCTAATCTTGCCACCTCTTTTTTTTTTTTTAAATTTTGATTTGGGTAAAAGTTTACAGAGCAAGTTCACTTTCCATACAGAAGTTCACATACACTTTGTCTCATGACATTGACTATAATTTACCACAATGCAACAGCGCCCCACCCACTTCCTCCCCATAGTTACCTCTTCCCTGTGCCCTTCCCTCCATGCACTTCTGCCCCCTGAGCTATGTCCCTGTGCATACACAGCCCTTCCATTCTCCCAGGATTTATCTCTCCAAGGAGTGTATCTATCTAGTGTATATGTTCACCTGATATGCCCGTCTTTTGTTTGGCTGGAAGCCACAGGAGTGGGTTCAATTCCAGACCTGAAGGGCAGTTAAGGGCCATAGTCTCAGTGGTTCCATCAGGCTCTATCAGACCAGCAGACCTGGTCCATTTTTATTTTTCTCAAAATGATTTTGAGTTTCCACATTATTCTCCCACTCTATCCAGGATCTCCTATATAGATCCCTCCCCAAGTGGTTGACAGTGGTAGCTGGGCACTATTTAGTTCTTCTGGTTTCATAGTCATATAGGCTGAGGATCGCATGGTGTACAGTCGCTTGGACTAATTGTTTCCATGAATCTTTGGTTTTATTAATTCTTCATTATTCTGGATGAGGAGAGAACCATCGTTGTATCTAGATGGCTGCTTGCAAGCTTTTAAGATCCCAGTTGCTACTTGCCAAAGTAGGAGGTGGATCAATGTTTTGTGTAGTATGGTATGCCAGTTGAGCCTGATGTCCTCTGTGACCATGGTCCCGAGCCCACAGGTCCAACTACTCGCTCCACCTGGGTAGCTGGCTGTGCCCAAGAAGTAACTACAACCTTGTCCCTTATCAGCTCTATTACATACCTGGGAATTCTTGCAGAACATAGCAATACACTTGTAGAAACATTGTCTGCCAGCCCTGTACATGGTCTTGGGCACACCCCCCCCCACACACACATATCCCACTGCTCTTCTGAACCACCACCAACCGCTCTCCTGTTTGATTAATTTCTCCAGCCACAATGGCCTCCTCTCTATTCCCCTGATGCAGGAGATGTGTTCCAGCCTCAGGACCTCTGCACCTGCTGTTTCTGCTACATCCCTCCCTAGATGTCTGCACGGCCCTCTTCCTCACCTCCTTCAGGTCTCCAATGAGATCAATATCCCCTCCTCACAGCTCCTCCCTGACCCTCTCTCTACTTCACTATCGGGGCCCTTATCTTGATATTGCTTCCAGCATTGCATCATGTAGGTCTGTGTTTATTAACTGGGCACCTTTCCAGGTCTCTGCCCTTCCTGGCTTCCAAAGCCTGCCCGAGGCACTGGAACCTGTGAGGAGATAGTAAGGGCCCAGGGCTGGGCTCAGCAGGCTGGCACAGCGCCCACGGTGCCTGTGAGTTAACACACAAATCCGGGCAGCTACTTAAACCGATCAGGGACTGTGCAAACACCACTATCAGGGAGCTGTCTGCTTTTATCAACCAAGAGGCAAAGGTGTGAGATGGGGAGGCAATACCACAGTGAGCTCAGCAGAGAGATGTGCTGGGCTGGGGGCTAGAAGCACAGGCCCCAACAGACCTGCTTAGGACACCCACCCTCCAGCTCACACAGGTTCTGACCTTGCCAATCCTCAGCCCAAGCCAGCCCTGCTGCCTGTAGCACCCTATCCTGCCTATGTTAACCGGAGGCCAGACAGCTTTGGTGTGGGGTGTTGAGGTTCAGGAGCCAAGCAGGTCTAGATGTGCAACCTCAGATGCTTTGATGCCCAGGTGAGGGCCACTAGGCAAGTCATTTGGCTTTTCCGAGGACAGTGCTCAAAATACCTTCACTAGTTTGCCATGAGAAGTTAAAGTGCCCAGCATGGGACCTGGCACATAGTAGGTGCTCATAAAGTCTCCACTGTTACACTGACCAGTGAGGCTGAAGGTCCAAGCTTTGGTCAGTGGCCTGAGAGCAGTGTCCCCTCCCTGCCTGAATTCAGTCACTGACTGAACATTCACGAGCCCCTACTATGCGCTCAGCACTTAGATCACCTGCATCTTGCCCTCTTGACAGTCCCAGGAGGGAGGACTACAGTCATCCTCATTTACAGATATGGATAACGAGGATCAGAGACACAAAGATACTTGCCCAAGGGCATGTGGCCAGGAAGCAGGGAAGCTGAGACCGAATGAGGGTTTGCAGGGGCCGTAACCAGCCCCAAATGAGGTGCCAAGTGTCTCTATTCCTGCTCTTGAAGGTGGTGCTCAGAGGCTGAGAGGCTGGAGGTGCAGGTCTGACGCACCCTGGGGGTGGGGGAGGCTTGCCTGGCTCGCAGGCAGTGGATAGTTTAGCCTCCCTCCCTTCCCGCTGATCCAGCCCTCGCCCATCCCACCCAGACCCAGATGGTGCAATTAGCCAGGCAAGCACTATTGGCTCAGGCAGCCAGAATGCTTTTAACGAGATTGTGGGAGCTGAACACTCCTTCCAAGACGGCTGCGAACCCAGGCTGGGGGAGGGGATTCGTACCGACACCGGGGATAGAGAGGAGGGTGTTGCACGGAAAGGAAGGAGACTGAGTCACCCAGCGCCTGGGAGAGGCAACAGTGAGCTAAGAACTGCATTGTGCGTCCGGCTTGAAGTCTAACTCTGAGTGGTCTGTTCCTTCTCTCTGAGCATCAGTTCCTCATCTGAAAAATGATGACACTCTTCAACTTACATTCCAGGTTGTATGTAGATTGTTGAGAACTCACCAATGGCAACATCCTGCGGATACTGATACACTGTACCTCACTGATTCACTCACTCACTGAGCACTACTGTATGCCAGGCCTTGTGCTTGGTGATGGGGACACAGCACAGAACAAAAGTGACAAAATCCCTGCCCCCTTGTAGCTGATGTTTGATTTGGGGGAGACAAAATGAACCAATTAAGACATATATTGTATAACAGAGTGGGTGAGAGGTAGCCTATGACTATAGAGGGCTGCTATTTTTGGAGGCGGAATCCAGGAAGGCCTCCCTGAAGAGGTGACCTTTAAGCAGACAACTGGATGAGAGATGGCACCTGGGTATGTCTGCAAAAGGAGCATTCCAGGCAGAGGGAATAGCATATGCCAAGGTCCTGAGGTGAGAGTGTGCTCCCAGCCCATGCTAGAGGCTCAGTGAGGAGGCCAGGGTGGTGGAAGTGGGATGATCCAGGGCCAAAGTGTTGGGAGAGGGTCTGAGGGGAGCAGGGGCCAGGCCACACAGGGCCTTGGAGGCCATGCTGAAGAGCTGGCATTTGATTCTAGTACAGGCTTCAAAGCAGGGGAGTGACGTGATCTGCTTAGGTTCTAATAGGATCTCTCTGGCTGCGTGTGGAGAATGGACAGCAAGGTGGAAGCAGAGAGCCCTGGGGAGAGGTTCCGGCAACAGTCCAGGTGGAGAGGACGGTGCTGAACCTGGGACCAGGTGGAGAGGATGGTGCTGAACCGAGTGGGGCAGGAAGGGGCAAGAAGTGGCTGAATTGTGGATGTGTTTTCAAAGTAGAGCCAACAGGGTTTACTGATGGTTTGGATGTGGAACGAGAGGGAGAAAGCAGGGGAGGAGAGAGAGAGAGAATGCTGCTCAGGTTTTGGACCAAGCAACAGGAGAGGTGGACGTGCCATCAACTGAGATGGACGAGCAGAGTTCTCATATCGTGAAACCTTCATGCATGAACACACATATGCACACACACACACATCTGAGAAGCACTGATACCAGCTCGGCCCTGTGCTCCTGGGGGAACTGAGGCAGGCAGCAGGGCCCCGGACACTCACCCACGCCCAGCATGACAAGGGGTGTGTGCTCCCAGTGGGCCAGCAGCAGGAGGTGGACCAAGTTGTGGGCGATGAGGCCGAAGCACAGAACCACGCAGCACCACTCCTGGAAGCGCTTGCCTGGGGGGAGAGGAGGGCAGAGTGAGTGCCAGGTGGGGCGGCGGCCGGGCTCTTCAATGGTACTCTGGGTCTGCGGATCTGGGGCTCTAACCCACAGGCCAAGCTCACAGCATGGAATCGCGCTGCCACGAGCCCCCAACCCACCCATTTCACAGATGATGTTACTGAGCTCCAGAGAAGAGAAAAGGCCTGCCTACGGTCAAACACCAGGACCGACTACTTACTTTGCTTGGAGCCTTGGTGGTGCGATAGTTAAGCACTTAGCTGCTAATCAAAAGGATGGTGGTTCAAACCTACCCAGCCCCTCCACTGGAAAAAGACCTGATGATCTATTCCTGTAGAGACTGCAGCCTATGAGCTTGGGGGATGTTATGCTGAGTGAAATAAGTCAATCACAGAAGGCCAAATACTGTATTAGCCGACTACTGTAACAAGTCAAGGAAAGGTTTATATATGGAAGGAAACTTTCTTTGTCCATTACCAGGGGTGGGGGGAGGGAACACTGCAAAAAAAAAAAAAAAGCACTGACCCATGTCCTGTATTTCACTGTACATAAATTACATCTCAATACAACGTATTAAAAAAAAAAAAAAAAAGACGACGACGACTGGAGCCTAGAAGACCCTATTAGGTAGTTCTGCTGTCACTCGGGGTCACTAGGAGTTGAACTCTACTCAATGGCACCCAGGGAGCTCTGGTAGTGTAGTGCCTAAGGCATCTGACTGCAAACCAGAAGGTTGGAGGTTCAAACCCACCAGCCACTCCTCAGAAGGAAGGTTGGGCAATCTACTTCCGAAGCGATACTGCCTGGGAAACCCAAGGAGGGGTCGCTGTGAGTCAGATCCGACTCAACAGCATATAACAACAACGGCACCCAACAAGCATAAAATGAAAACCTGGGGCCCCGTGTTCAAAGTTATTTAAGATTTACTATCCTTTATATTTTGTTATGTCATTACTATGAATTTCAAGATGATAATCCAAAAACTCAAACCATTGTCACTGGTTTTGATTCATAGTGACCCTAGAGGACAGAGAATTACCCAACAGGGTTTCCATGGCTATAATATTTACAGAAGCAGACTGCAAAGTGGCTAGGAGATATGAACCTCCAACCTTTTGGTTGGCAGCTGAGTGCTTTAAGCACTGTGCCACCGAGGCTCCTTAAGATGACAACAGCAGAGCATTAAACCAAGCTCGGGCCCTTCTGAGCACAGGGCTCATGCCCAAGAAGCAGGCCTCGCACGCACCACTTCTTTTGCAGCCAAGACAAGAACGCTGGTCTCCCAGGCCCCTTTGGGTTTTCTCCGGAGACACTCGGGACGTGAATGAGCTGCTTTTTTTAACCTGCCTCTTCAGAGCCTCATCTGTCCCCCTTTCCTGGGTGATTACTTGGAGGTGGAGGCTACAAACAGCCTTTGATACCAGAGGCTCAGACCTGGCCCTCCCTCCAGGGAGCAGGGCTCCAGGCCGGTGAGTCAGGAATTTGTAGAGAAACAAGGCCTCGGGCACCACTTCCAGGAGTCCTGTCAGGTGCAAGGGGTCTCGGAGTGAGACAGAGGGAAGACAAGGCAGTGCCAAGGAGGGTCTGAAGCTCTCAGGCCTCCAGGGGCTGGGCTGGTGGGGACCGCAGACACTGGCAAGTGGGCCATCGGCACGAGGGCCAGGGAGGCAGCTCAGGATTCTCAAGAGAAGCCGGAAACCTACATTTGGTGTGAAATCTCCCATTCAAATGTTTTCTCACATTGTAACAGACAGTGAGGATGAACTGGCTTATTCACTGCAGCTTTGTTTGAGGTGTCAGAACCCTGGAAACACCCAGAGTATCCGTTGCCTGGGGCCCAGCCAAATTCATCATGGTCCCCTGGCAGCTTTGTGACTGGGAAAGGGCTGGGCAGCATGCAGGGGTGGCCAGGCTGGAGGGCGGGTGCCCAAATGCAGGCCGGCAGTCATTTATGTAAAAATGGGAAACAGAAACAACAGAGACCACGGAGCTCAGGCTGGCCGTTTGCCGACTCCCTTTTGGATTTCTGAAAGTGCTGCCATATTAAAATTTTCACTTTTAAATTCAAATTTTAAACAGGAAAATGAAAGATAAAACACCATGTGGATGCCACAGAACGCCTCTCCCCTTGGGACTGGGCCCCTGGAATACTGGTTTACCAGGAAGCTGGTCCCAAGGGTGTGGAAGACCCTTTAATGGCAATAATGTTATTATTAGTGTTGAATATCTACTGGGCAGTTGCTGTGTGCCGGGTATTCTAGCATCCCCATTTCACAGCTGAGAAAACTGAGAGTCAGAGCGGTCAAGGAGCTAGCCAAGTGAGTCAGCCAAGATGAAGATCCCATGGCCAGTGGGACTGGCTCTCAAGCCCTGCTGCTTCAGGGTCCCTCTCTCCCTTCCCCACCACCCTTACTGCCCCAATGACATTCTTGGGTCAAGAGGCCAGTCCCATCTTAAAAAAGTGTGGCTGGACAGGTTCCTGTGACTGGTTAATGACTGGTGGGGTGAGGGCCAGAGCAGGTACGGAGTCTGTCCTCTCTTCTCTGCAGCTTTGCAGGTGCCGTTTCCTCCGACTTCTCTGCACCTGGCTGACTCCAACACCGCTCCTGCAGATTTCAACTGGGATGCCATTCCCTCCAGGAAGCCATCCATTGTGCCTCCTCTGACCCTGTGTTCCCCAGTGTGGGGCCTGTCACTGCCTGTATAACCTCCGTGTCATTGCCTGTGTAACAAATGTCTTCTTGACCTGAGTGTGAATGTGGGGTGGGGGGCTCAGGGCCCACAGGACTACGGCAGGCTCACTCACAGGCCCCTGGTATGCAGCTGATACTCAATAAATGCTTGTGGAATGGAAAATTTCTGACTGCAGTCCTAAGGGAAGAGACCAGAACTTGCCTCTGGGTGTCCTTCATCAAAGTGCCTTGGGGAAGGACATGGTAGGTTCCTACTTTTCCTGATAGGGAAACTGAGGCTCAGAAGGAGAGGGCTGTGTCCAGCCCCACAGCAGCAAGCTGCAGACACAGGACCTGAGCTCCTGACCTGCCCTGAACCAGAACATTCCCCACCCAGTATAAAGACCAAGGCTTCGGGGGGAGGTATGCCCCGGGTCACATCCCCTTGGCCCACTCTGATATAGATGAGGTCCAGAGAGGGCAAAGACGTTGACAGAAGTCACACAGCAGCACAAATGGGATAAGAGCCTGCCTCCCAGTCAGGAGCTGCCTCCCTTGGACCACACAGCCCTACCGCCCCAGCAGGCCCTGCCTGCGGACACCATGACCATGGCCCACAGGGCCTTCCCCTTTTGGGTTCCTGTTTGTGGCCAGGCCTTGGGCACAGACCCGGGAAGCCCAGGGGGTGGAGGGGTGGGAAGAGTAGTGGTAGCAAAGGCAGGTCAGTCCTCCATGGGACCTATCTGCCTGCCCTCAGGGAATGTGGGCAGAGATCACAACCTAGTCATAGTAACAGTAACAAAGGTTGATGCCCACTGAGTGCATCTCACAGCAAGGAAGTTGCAAACTGGCCTAGTGGACAAGTTCTGCTCTCAGTTGTTAAAAAATATGCTATACTTCAAAAATTGGGAAATTTTACCCAAAATTCCTAGCTTCCCACTTCCCTTGGGAACACGGGGCTTTTGTCACACTAGGCCAGAGGAGTGGTAGCTGTCCCTGAGATGGGCACTCAGCTTCGCTTGCTTGGTGCTCTCCCCTTCCTGAGGTCTCAGCAGCCCTCCCTGGCAGGCCTGGCTGGGTCCCTGAAGTCATCTGAGATTGCGAGCCCTAGGGGTAGTCCCTCCCTCAATTCCGGAGTGAGGGACTGTGTGATTCCATTTTCCAGATTGAAGAAACTGAGGCTCAGAGGGCAAGAAGCAGAGGTGGGTTTGGATCCTGGGCTCATAACGGGGACATGTCAGTCTGGACACTTGGGGCTGTCCTTACTCCCACGATGGCTCAGCTCTCTCCCAGTGCCACGGAAAATGTCCCCAAAACCTCAATGTATCTCATCTGAACTCCATCTCTTTGGCATCTGCAACTTCTGCATCCTTTGGCATTTGGTTCCTTCTGCAGAGTAAGTGTGTCAATCCATTAAAAAGCACAGAGAATGATAAGCAGTGTTCCCAGAAGCTGATTACGAGCCAGACACAGCGGTGAGAATCATTCCAGTCACCTATCCCCACACCTCGTGGGCTGGGACCACTCACCCCAACTGTCAGAAAGGGCCTAGAGATGCAATGACTTGGCCAAAGTCACCCACACATCACTCAGGTCACACAGATTGTCAGCCTGCAGGGCCCATGGGGTCAGGAGGCAAAACTGGTGCAATTTACAGAGGGGTCCAGGGAGGGCAAGGGCAGTGCTTGGAGGTCCAGGCTGCCCAGCCTTGTTTCCTGAGCCCGCCCCTGGTCTGGCAGGGTTGAAAGATCTGAGATGGGATCTGGGACTTATAGGAGTGACTGACTTTTTGGCCTGAGGGAAGGGGCGATTGGGAGGACAGTGGAGGCCATGTGCCAGGCCTCATTCTTGGCTCTCAGGGGGCAGGCTGTAGTCAAAGCTTGGTGCCAGGCCCCACTCACGCCCAAAGTCCTCTGGTTCTGGTTTGTCAAAGCCAAGGCCAAGTAACCTGTATGTATCTCTAAATGGCCACTGGGAACAGGGAGACCCTCGGCCTGAGGGAGATGGGTGGCAGTAAGAGAGGTCAGGAGCCAGAGAGACAGTGGGAGACATGGAGACAGGCAGGAAAGACAAACAGCATGACTGTTGGGGGAGTTTGCAGGGAGCAACGACACAAGAGACAGAAATAGACCAGGTTGAGGGAGATGAAGAGAAAGCTCGGCCCAGAGTGTGGTAGGGCGGGATCTCTGTTTACTGGCTCCCACCAGGCCTATTTGGGGAACTGTACCCCAAGCTCCCCCTGTGTATCAGGCCGGCTCTCTCCTCCACTTGCCCCTCACTCAAGCTGTGCTGCTGACTTGAACCATTTGTCTGCCTCCCACACCCCTGACCCTGGCCAGCTCACTTTCATGGTAATGACTAAGACCAGGGCTTTCAACTGGTTTGAACCGGTTCAGTCATGGCCAACGAAGCAAAACCAGAACAGACTTGAATTTTTAAAGTTTGGGCGATCTGGAATGTTAACCGAAATGGGGAAAGTTTCAGGTCGGCACCCTGGAATGGAAAACTTGGAAGAGCCTGATGTGGGAGGCTGTGTTATTGCCAGGACTGTGGAGAGTAACATTCACTCAGGGGTATGGCTGCCCACCATCTTTGAGATGGGCACTGTTGTTTTTGACTCAGCCGATCAAGAGATTTGGTTGCTGTGCAACATACACACTGCCCTTGTTTTCTGAGAGAGAGAGATGGAATCTAGCAGGGCTTCATCCTGTACTTTTTCCTGTTCTGGTTAGCGTTCTGCTTCACCCACATTTTAAAAACCTGGGTCTGTTCGATGTTGCTTTGTCAGCCATGATTGAATCAGTTTGAAGCCCTGCTTAAGAACCCAGAAGTTGGAAGACCCCACACCTGTGTTCCGGTGCAGGCCCGCTGCTGCCCAGCTGTGCGACCCTGGACAGGTCACTGCTCCTCTCTAAGTCTCACAAAAGGTCTTAACAAAGATGGGCTGGCTGCTCATGCCATGCCAGGTTCTGTCAACAACCAAACAGGCACCCCCTGGTCTTGCTGACCTTCCTGTCAAGGGGGCACCAACAGAGCACATGCCAGCCTGACCCTGGCTGGGGCAGCTCTTAGGAAGAACACGTGTGGGCGGGGGCTAGGAGGGGTTTGGTTTCTTCCTCCATGAAATGGGGTTAAAACCAGTTGTTGGTTGGTGTTTGTGGTTGTTGTCAAGCGGATTCCAACTCACGGCAACCCCTGTTCCATAAGATTTTCAACGAAAAAACCTTTCGGAAGCAGATTGTAAGGCCCTTCTTCTGAGGTGCTTTGGGGCAGGTCTAAACAAGCAACCTTTTGGCCAAGTGCTTGACCATTTGAGCCACCCAGGGACTCCTCGGAAAGCTGTAGTGAGAAGGAAATGACAAGAGAGAGAGAAATGCCCATATTCAGCCAGTGCTTGGTAAATGCACTTGGTAAACTTCACTATCTGAAGTGCCATTATTATTGCTATCACTGTCCCGGGCCACCTCTGGCTCCAGGAATCTCAAGAATTCAGTCCTGGAACCCATGAACTTCCTCTCCTAGCCTCCTGCCCACAGGCCTCCTTGGTGTCCTCAAACACACCAGGCATGGTCCCACCTCAGGCCTTTTTATTTGCTGTTCCCCCTTGTCTTGAGACAATCCTTCCTGACTGTCCTCATGGTTCCTTCCCTCACCCCACCCCTTCAAGTCTATGCTAGTTGTCACCTGCTTGGTGAGGCTGACCCTGGCTCCTCTCTAAAACATTACTCTCTCCGGCATTTCACCTCTTTCTTCTGCTGTAAGCTCGCTCCATAGCACTTCCCACCACCTGGCCTGCGAAATATTTCACTTAGTCGTTGGGCTTGTCTGTCTTCCTACTAACACGCAATTCCATGTGTTCTGTCTTGTTACCACTTTGTCCCCACTGCCTAGCACAGAGAGTGGAACACAATACATATTGAACCTAGCCTCTCATTTTGCAGATCAGAGAGGTTAAGGTACTTCCCTAAGACCATAGAGCAAAGGGCCAGAGGTAGACAGAGTGAGGCCTATGGAGAGGAACTTGGAGGAACCAGTCAGACCTATGCCTACCTCCCCACGTTGCCCAGGTTAGGAGGATGAGGTGATAAGGCCTTGAGTGCAGGTCTATGGCACCAGAGGGAACCCACACTTTCAGATCCCCATGTGGCTGTTCTTCAGCAAGAGAGGGGCACTTGGGAAAGCTAGAACCCGGTAGAGATGTAATCAGGAACATGGAGAGGGTGATTCCTGAGGGAGGCTGGGAATGCCTAGTTATGATTTGGGCTGGTTGGAAGCAGATGGCTTGACTAGGGGGGCAGAGCTGAGCACCAAAGAAAGAAGCCTTTGAACCCTTCCCCTCAATTCTGGGGGGGAGGGGGAGGGCTAAGTCCCACAGCCAAGGTCAGACTATTGGGTTAACAATAGGGAGCACTTACTGCACACCAGGTACTGTAAGCACATGGGTGATGTGCTCTTCCCAACAACACTAAGAAGCAGGTAAACTTGACCTGTGCCCATTTCAGCGGTCAGGAGACCAAGGCTCAGTGAGAGGAAGTGGCTTGGGGCCAGGCCACATAGCTAAGTCCCAGATTAAGATGCTGGCACCAGGGAGACCAGGAGAATTTAAGCCCACAGGCTGGCTGCTTTGGAAACAGGTGAAAGACATGGTGGCAGCATGGCCAGGTGCCCAAGTCAGGTTTGCAAAACCACACACTGCACAGAATTGCAAGAACAGAAAGGTGGCTGGTGCTGGTGATCAAGAGCCGGTTGACAGAGACTCAAAGAGAGAAAGCAAACAGCCCAAGGTCGTGCAACCAGCTATGGCACTCACACCCAGGTTGCCCAGGCCAGAAAGCCTGGGGGAGGGGGAACGTGGAGAGTGGCCACCATGCCCACCCCCTGCAAGGGCTGTTTGGTGGCTGTCCCACAGCAGATGGAAAGATGTCTGAATGTTAGCAAACAAAGCTTAGTGTGATGCCAGGTAGAGGGGCCTCCAGCAGTTCCCAATCACCTGACTCATTCCCAAAGGCACTTCCTTAACCCCTGGGGACACCCAGGCTGCTGGGGCCAGGCAAAGAGATTACCCAGCTCAAGTGAGTGTAGAGGTGGTGGTGGTGGGGGGTGCTTGCTGGAGCATGAACGGTGGGCAGGGCAGGAAGTTGCCAGGGGCCTTGACCTGGGGGAAAAGGGCAGAGCCAAGGGTCTCCAAATCTGATCTGGTATGGGGAGCCTGTGGGCTCCACTTCCCTAAGTCCTGACGTTGTTGTTGTTGTTGTCATGTGCCGTGGAGTCAAACCCAACTCATAGAGACCCCTCCTTGGGTTTCCGGGGCAGTATCACTACGGAAGTAGGATTGCCCAACCTTCCTTCCAAGGAGTGGCTGGTGGGTTTGAACCGCCAGCCGTCTGGTTAGCAAGCGTCTTAGCTTAGCCACTATGCTACCAGAGCTCCCAAGTCCTGACGTTGGGGGCTGATATTTACACATGGGGGAGGGGCGAAGGCTGGAGTTGCGGTTTGTGCACGGCAGAAGTAATCCCCCGGGGAGTTTGTGATTCCCCGCCCCCCCATCTGCACGGGATTCCTGGATACCCGGTGAGGGTCGATGTCCATGTCCCCTCTCCCCCTCGACCCCCCGCAGAGCGGGGATGAGGAGGAGCAATGTGCACCTCCAATCTAGGCTTTAACGAAGAATGGGGGCTTCAGGGGAAGGACTCTGGGGCACTCTGCAACTGGGGCTTCCTGAGTTGGGGGTTCCCGGACGTTTGCAGATTTAGGGGGTTGAAGTCACTGTTTGTAGCCCACGGGCCTGGCTGGGGTGCAAGTCGGTGGTAGGGTGTGGATGCTGGATTTGGAGAACCCGGGATGGAGCATGACTTTCCAAGGGACGGAAGTAATACTTGCAGTTGAGAGAGCTGCCTCCAGCTTGAACCAGGCCTTGGGGTGCGGTCTCCAAAACTAGGGGCAATCTTTGCAGCCAGGTTGCCCCCAAGGCTAGGATCCTGGATCTGGGGTGCGCTGGGAGCTCTGTTTATAGCTCGGGACGCTGGTATGGTACTTCCTAGATCTGGGGGAGCTCACTGCAGTCAGGGAGTCTCGGGGGTGGGATTTTGCCTTGGGCTGGGAAGGGGTTCTGGGTGGGGTCCCCCGGCCTGGGGACGCTATTTGCAAGGTAGAAGGGAAGGCTGAAGTTCCACATCTGGGCCCGAGGTTGGGGTTCCGACATTAGCGACCCAGGGTGGCTGTCTGCAGCGCGTGCTGGTGACGGCAGGCCCCGCGCGGGGCACGGAGGTCCTACCTGGCGAGTAAAGCGCGGCCAGCTCGCGGGCCCCGGCGTGTTGCGCGCCCCAGCGCCGGCAAGCTGACGCTTCGTCCTCGTCGAGCTCCGGCTGCTGGCCTGGCTCGTCCTCGGCGCCCGCCATGGCCACTCGCCCGGCCCGCCCGGTGCGCTCTGCTGGCGGCGGCGGCGGCAGCAGCGGCAGGGCCGCGGAACCGCGGCGAGATCACGCCGCCCAATGATCGCCCAGAGCCGGGCGCGGCGGTGGGGCCGGCGGGGGCCTCGCCCGGCCACGCGTCACAGCCAATCGGGGTCCGCGTCGGGGAGCTGCCGGCCAATCGGCAGCTGCCGAGCCGCAGCCAACCGAGGCGCGCGGGGGGCCGAGTCGCAGCTGGCCGCAGCTGGGCGCGGAAGCGAAGGGTGGCGGCGCGTCCCCACTCGCCCGGCTCCGCCCCAGTCTCTGCTAGTTGGGGCGGAAACCCAGGGTGCGTCGGCGCGCAGCTCGGGCCTTGGTTTACCCCCCTATGCAGTGGGCCGAGGCCGTGCACCACCGGGCCTAGAAACTGGCATTTCGTCAGCACTCACTGTTAAGCGCCTACTGTGTGCAGAGACGCGAGTAGAAGGCGGCGGGCGGAGGCCAAGGACCGAGCGCGCGCTTGGTGAGCCCTTACATAGTGCCCCCAACTGGGGTGGATTTACGTTCCACTAGTTTATCACGCCCTACTGTGTGCAGGGATCTCGAGGGCCGTGAGCACGCGCACTACGCGCCAGTTCTGTGCTGTGCGCGGGAGAGGAGGAACCTCCGTCCTGCCCTCCTGGGACTCATGTTCTCCCAGGTAATGGAACAATAAACTAATGCAGATAATAAGAGTCGCTGTAAGGTTTGTCGATTGCTTAATATCTGTTGGGCCCATTGGGACCAGAGCTAGTCAAGCAGCCCTTCCTTTACTTTTATTGCCCAGTAAGGCCCTACTGACCGCCCTGCTCAAGTGGCCTCTTCCTCCCATCACTGTGACATCACTCTGTTTTGTCTTCACAGTGCTTGTCTTGGGCAAGGAGTTGGTGGGTACCTGTCTCCACCCACCAGAAAATGAACTTTTGAGGGCAGGGACTTGCTTTGTTCACAGCAGAATCCCCCATCTGGATCTGCGGCTCATAGTAGAAGCTCAGTAAATACTTCCTGCATTAGAGAAAGAGAGACAGTGTGTGTGTGTAGGTGTTTTATGTAAGGAACTAAGGCTCAGCCAAAGGCCTCCAGTAGCTCAGCAGGTACATGGTACATGACAGGGATACATGGTAATTGGTCATATAAATTCCATGCAGTGTGATCAAATGGGAGTCACCTAGAAACGGTGGAAGGACCAAAGAGGTGCTTGAGGGAAGTAGGAAGGTAAGACCCCTTCCAGAATTTCTGAGACTTCCAAGGTTTTAAGGCTCTGGATTCTTCAGCTGCTGAGTCAAGACAATTCCCCTCAAGGGCTGTTTCCTGAGTGTCCCCAGTCTGGGTGGCCACTGTCCCTAGCCAGGCCATGATGAAAGCCCCTTGGATGATAGGGGGAAGCTGGTGGGCTTGTCATTTATGAACTGCATGGTTGTATTTTCATCCCAGGAGCTTAAGGCGCTTGCCTTAGTGGGGGCTGGAGCTCAGATTCCAAAGAAACACCCTCCAGAGTTTTCTGTATGAGCTCCAGAGCCTCCAAGGGGCTGGAGACCCCCTCAGTTCACAGCACACGATGCACAATGGACAACCAGACCACTTAGAGGATGCATTTGTTTACCTTTGACTGACATGTATTTATTAAGCACCAGCCAGGGCCAGGCACTGATACAGGGACAGCAGAGAACAAGACAGAGTCCCTACTCTCCAGAGAAGTGGAGGTGAAAGTCAGGGAAGGCTGCTCAAGAAGGCGGCCTTTGAGCCAAGACCTAAAGGAAGTGAGGGAACCAGTTGTGCAAATATCTGAGAACAAGTCTTTCTAAACAGGGAATAGCAAGTGCAAAGGTCCTGAGGCAGGAATATGTTTGCCCTATTCCAGCAGTAGCCAGGAGTCCAGTGTGATGAGCTAGTTTGAGTCAGGGTTGTTGGGAGGAGATGAAATCGGAGAGGAAGGGAGAGGGGCAGATGTGATAGGGCCTTGAAAGGGATTATGAAGTCTTTGGGTCTTTTTTTTTTTTTTTTTTAATGCATTTTATTGAAATATAATTTATGTACAGTGAAATACATAAAACTAAAGTGACATGGGATGTGTTAGGCTGGGTTCTCTAGAGAAGCAAAACCAGTAAAGCTTATATAGAGAGACAGAGAAATTTATCTTAGGAAAATGGCTCACACACTTACAGAAGCTGGCAAGTCCAAAGTTCTTGGATCAGAGGTCAAGCTGGAGGCTTTTCCTGACTCATGCAGCTGCAGGGGCTAATGAGCTCAAGGTCAGCAGGCAGTATACTGGCTGTTGACTCCAACGAATGATGACTCCAAGATCTCCAGGCTGAATGGTGGATTGTTTGCTCATGGACAGTTGTAGGCAGCACAACAGAATCCCGATCCACAGAAGAGGAGAGTCTCTTTTCCCAGGATGTCCACAAATATACTGGAAGCAGTCCACACCCCTCAGGATTCCCCTTCAGTGGGCTGGCTGCTCAAAACATATACATTTGATCCCATTACGGGAACAACCCACATCACTATTGCTCAACCCACACAGCATCCTGTTCCAGCCAAGTTGACACACAGCTCCAACCATCATACAGGTCAATGCTTTTTTTTTTTTTTTTTCCTGTGTTCCCTCTCCTCCCCTCCAACTCCTGGCAACCAACAGAGAAAGTTTCCCTCCATATATAAACCTTTCCTTGACTCTCCACAACAATGAACTAATACTATATTTGTCCTTCTGTGATTGACTTATTTCACTCAGCTTAATGTCCTCCAAGTTCATCCATATTATGCAGTGTTTTGCAGACTCTACATTATTCTTTAGCGTTGCATAGCATTCCATTGTGTGTAGTTTGGTCATCCACTCTTCTGCTATAAATCTTGGAGGTAAGTCCCTTGCCAGATATGTAACTATTGGCAACTATGAATTTGTTACTGTCATTTTTAGGTGCTTTTTCATGGTGTCGATTTCTTTGTTCCATATAATTTTCTAAGCTGAGCTCGTTTTGCGTATGAGTCTTGTTATCACTTCCTTCATTGCTATTGTTTTAGTATTTGGTGAATATTTACGTTGGTCCTCTTTTTTGATGTGAAGGTTTATCATTTTTCTTTGAGGTTACCCTGTGATTTATAGTTTTCTTTCCAAGTTTAGAATAGTCTGTTCCATGGTGTAGTTGTCTTGACTTCCCCTACCATCTAGAAGTTTTGTAACGACACAGTTTTTTCCCTCTTTTTGGTTTGTAGTTGTCCTCATTTGTCAATTGATGTCTCTGGTTCCCCGTTTACAATCTTGTAGGCTTCTTTACTTTGAATACTTCTATAGCTGGGAGCTCTGGTAGCTTAGTACCTAAGGCATTTGACTGCTAACCAGAAGGCTGGTGGGACCACCAGCCACTCCTCAGAAGGAAGGTTGGACAATCTACTTCCATTGTGATACTGCCTCGGAAACCTCAGGAGGGGTCACTATGAGTCAGATCCGACTTGACTGCAGTGAGTTTTTTTTTTTT